CCACAATGGTGTATCATTTGCAAGAACAGCATGGAATCTCAACAACATCTCTTCACTTCCTGTACTTTTGCTTCTGATTTTTGGAATGTCATCCTCTTGGCTTTTGGTTGGTCCACAGCATTACCAAATGACCCTAAACTTCTCCTTGAGGCCACCTTAATGGGACACCCCTTCAAAAACATAAAGGAACAGCTATGGACAAACTTCATCCGAGCCTTTCTGTGGACTACTTGGGGTGAAAGAAATCAAAGGATCTTCATTGACAAGTCACAATCTTTTGAGCGTTTTTTTGATGCTATAGTGTTTAAAGCTATATCATGGTGTAAAACTTCTCCTACTTTTCTTTACTATAGCTACACTTCCCTCTTGTCCAATTGGAAGTGCCTTTTGTAACCCATCTATGGGCTTTTGTACTCCCTTATATGGGCTCCTTGTAATTTCATATATCAATGAAATTGTTTCTTTCACAAAAAAAAGAAATGGTTCTAAGTTTGCAGATAATGTTGTCCAAAGCTTATCTCCTGTAAAATATGAAGCTCCAACTGAAGTACATTAATGTTGATTCAGGCTTTTAGTTGTCAAACCAAGAAATAAAGGAAATGAGAAAACAGAAAATATGAGCTGAAGCAACTGAAATTATTAAAATTCATCCCGCTCATGATTTATACCATAGGTTGATGTCTGTTTCTAATAATCCCAAGGCTAGATTTTGGAACTAAATTACTAAAGATGTAGAGCTTGTTTTTTATTTCTTTTTTCCATTTCTTTTTACTTAGACATTGATCCCATGGTCCTAAGTTTTGTACCTGATTTTCCATCCCTTTTCAATTGTCGATTTTTATATTTGATCTAGTGGAAGTTTAATTCATCATCTTTAATTGAAATCCTCACATGAGCACCACTTCCTTTTCAATTGTCATTTTTTATAGTTGATTTGGTGGAAGTTTAATTCATCATCTTTAATTGAAATCCTCACATGAGCACCGCTTCCTTTTCAATTGTCATTTTTTATAGTTGATTTGGTGGAAGTTTAATTCATCATCTTTAATTTAAATCCTCACATGAGCACCGCTCAACAATTAAGGAATCTAAGGTTGGAGGTTTGAATCCACACCCTCACGTTTATTACTGAAAAATTGAAATCCAAGTTTCCTCGCTGGTGTTCTATTCCTATGAATTATTTATTACGATGAGCTAGGTTACCCAAAATTAAAAGTATCCCCCAAGTAAGTAGCTTGATTGTTTTCAGGACACCTGATAAATTTCATCTTTAATCCCTTAATTTTATCCTAGCATTGATGGAAATTTCACTAGGTGAATACTAATTCTATTATCGGATGGTGAGCAGCTTAAGGAAATGGCTGAAAGGCTGCCAGTTGGAGCAGCTCGTAACGTGAAATCTACTCTTGCTTCTTTGAGCTCCGGTCCAACCTTCAATTATTTGATCAACACTTCTGTAGACCAATTAAGTGGTCAAGCAACATCCTTAGAGAAAGACTCAAACAGTTCGAGCGTCCAGTTGCTTTCAAATGGGTCGGGCACTGCAAATATCCAGTCTTCAACCACAACCAAATTGGGTCAGTTGGATTCAGCAAAGAATGGAAATAGAATTAAAGAAAGTGAATCTCGCCAAGAAGCAGAATGGGTTGAGCAAGATGAGCCTGGTGTATATATTACACTCACCTCACAACCAGGAGGTGCCAAGGATCTTAAGCGAGTTCGTTTCAGGTATGCAATTTTCTTTTACTCAATTATTCACCAGTTTTGATAAAATATTGCAGGAAAATAGCTTGAAACTTATTATAACTAGGTAGATTTTTGTTCACGAAGCTGTTCTCTTTTTTAGACAAGAAACAAAGTTTTCATTGTTTCATTTATAGTTTAAGAGGAAGAAAAATGTTGAAAGATACAGACTCAGAGGGAGAGAAAAAGAACCAAACAGCTACATAAAAAACAAGTTTCCAAATATTACAAGAGAATAAAACATTGAAGAACAGAACACTAATAAGTAATATCTTGACAAGACACAAGCTGAAACAACAAAAAGTTGATTGTTTTCTGTATTTATATAACTAGAAGCAATGTTTTTATTTTGAGAAAGTTACAATACCTATAAGTGTAAGAGTGCATACTCCTGCAACATTATTTCCTTCTTGTTTCAAACTAATAGTCTACACATTGAACTTCATAAATCATAATTAATACCAAGTTCATACACGAGTGAGAGTGTTAAACTTAAACGTTAAGCTTTTAGATATAGTAGTGATTGAATACATTGTGATCTTCTCCATGAAAAACTTTCTGAACTTTATATCATTGTTTCAATGCCAGTCGGAAGCGATTTACAGAGAAACAAGCAGAACAATGGTGGGCAGAGAACCGTGCAAGAGTTTACGAACGATATAATGTACGAGTGCTCGACAAGTCTAGTATAGGCATCGGAAGTGAAGATTTGACTCATTGACTTGTGCAAACAGCCGCAGAAATCAAATCATTTGTATATGGGAAGGAAAAAAAAGGTTTCTTCAATTCCCTGCTCTACTTACTGGGTCATATTGACCATTTCAGATTCAGATTGGATTTATCATTGATAGGTTTAAAGAAATGGACAACATTTGGTACAATTAGAGAGAAAATTAGATGGATTTGATGATTTGGATTTCTTCTTTCTTTCAGGTTTAGTTTTTTTTTTTTCTTTTAATTCTTCCCCTGTATGGTTGTGTGGGGGTTATGAGAAATGTAAATACTACTCTAGTTGCTGTCTATTGATGAAATCAGTTGCAGTATAATTTCTATAAGCGCCTTACCGCCCCTCCCTCTTCCTCCCCCTCTTTTTCTAGCATATTCAAAAATCTTGACTGTTTATATTTTATTCTTTTTTGGAATGTTAAAAACCTTTTTTTTAGCGCAACAAATGAATGATTTAACTTCCGACCTCGAAGGTGTCTTAATTGCTGAGTTAAGTCCATATTGGCCATATGTTAAAAACTTAAAAGCATACAAATTATTTGTTTAGATCAGTCCAAAGGTGTAGAAATTTGTTTATAAGATAAGGTTCTCTTTGGTAATGTTTTTGCTTTTTGTTTTCTTGTTTCCCATTTTCAGTTTTTGACAAACATAGGGTATATTTGGTTGGTAATCTCAAAATATAGATTTGAAAACAAGTTATTCCATGAAAATAGAGTTATTTTCTACGTTTGAAGTGTTTTGAAATATATATTTGGTAGCAAATTTGAAAATTAAATCTTAAATGTAGTAATATGTTTGTAAACTATTCTTCTTCGAAAAAAAGAATTGTTTGCAAACTAATGGTTGTTACTAATTAAATATTTAGTTCAATCTAAAATAATATTAATTAATTCGTAAACCTATATGTTATAAATTTTGTAGAATTATTATTTTTCAGTATTATATAATTTATAATATGTTGTATTATACATTTCTTCAAAATATATATGTATATTTATTTATTTATTATATTATACATGTTTTAATTTTAACAAAAATAAAATGAGTTTAAAACATGAAATAGTAAATTTATCCATTTTGATTCAAATTCAAAATCTGAAAATACTAAAGACATAAAAATGTTGTTTGACATGCCTTAAATGTTTGGTTAACACTTCTTGTGTCTTGTATTCCATTTTTAAGATGTTTTTAAATTATGTAAAAATTTTGAAAACAACAAATCAGGTTTTTTTTTTTAATTATCAAAGAAACATTGCATTGGAAATAAATAGGACCACTAAGGGTTACAAAGAGTGGTGACCACGCACCACAATCAAAATCCACGAACAAAAAATTATCACAAAGGATAGAAAAATAATCAGAAAAGGCACATTTGGCCTCAAACAGCTTGCGTCAAAGAACTAGAAACATGAATAAATTTTAGCCTACTAAACACTTTTTCCAAAGTCACAACATCCTCAACCCATTTCTCCAAAGTCACAACATCTTCAACCCCATTCAATGATGTCGGGGGAGACTCCTCATGGAGATATCTCGTCAATTATGGACCCCTATTTAGAATGAGAAGGGAAATAATTGTCTCCAAAGTTTCTTATTCTCTGCCATGATAGGTAAGGAATGATTAAACAAATTCTCTAAATCATGCTAGTCATTGATCTAAATACAATTAAGATGGATAACCTCAAAAAATTCCAAAATAATGTTCGAGCCGATCATCGTCGTACCTCTGTCGTCTCCCACCTTTTGCTCCGTCATCCTTGCCTCTAGACCATGAAAGTTCTCTGAACCAAGATACAATGAAGATGAAGAATCATCTCAAGAAATCACAAGGGGTGCCCTCCCCAATTTTGTGTCTGATAACTCTTCAAAACAACCTGATGACAAACCCAGGAACCATACATGACAATGTTGCTTTTGATTTTGTCAGCAGTATCGATATCCAACAAGGAGAGCCCCGACACCCGATCATCGTCCGCCATCACAGAAACTAGCGGGAAAGAAGGATCCTCTTCGAAAATTGCATCCACAAAACCAAAAGAGATCCCTGTTATATCTTGATCCATGATACTTACTTCTTGAAAAAAAACCACAGAATAACTGAAACAAAGTTGAGAGGAACACCCTTTTAAAAAACATCACTCGGAGGACTATGAGAAAACGCACATCCTTCATAGAGAGAGAATGATAGGAGGGGAGCAGGCCACTCATCATCCCAACAAAATCAAGTTTATTGTTTTTGTTTTACTTTTTTTCAAAAATATAAATAAAAGTATTCATAACTTATTAAATGCATAATAAATATTACAAAATAAATGTAACCTAAAAATTTTTAAAATTTAATTTCATATAAAAGTTAAAATTTTAAATTGTTACCAAACATGTTCATGTTTATTTTTATTTTTAATTTAAAAAGAATGAGAAATAACTAATAAGAAACAGTTAATAAGAAACAGTTGCCTACAGTAGTTTTTTTCCTCTCTTTTTCATTTATTTAAAAAAGGAGGAAACCAGGAATATGGAATCAACCCTTATCTTCTATTGCTTAAAACATAGGATGGTGTGCTATATGAAAAAATTGGCTCAAAATTTAGAAAGAACCCGTGCTTACCACCATTAAATATTTGATAATTTATTATTTTTAAAATTTTATTTTTATTTGTGTATTTCTCTCTCTTAATTGTCGAATATTTAACAGTGATAAGAAGAGAGTTTCTTCTTAACTTTAAAAAGCCAAATTTTTTTCGTTCTATATTGGACTCACTCCCCAACGAGATTTTAGAAAATTAAATTAAACCACTCTTTTCTAGGTGTTTATACTTATTCAATATTCTATTTTTTCTTAGTACAATATGATGGAGTGTAGGATCGAACTCACAGCTCTTGGACTGATTCAATACTCTTAATAGGTATATATATTTTTATATATTTAAAATAATTTTTTGATTAAAATATTTTGGCAAAATACATTTGTGGTCTCTAGGGTTTGAGGTAAGTATCTATTTGGTTCCTGAGGTTTGAGGTAGGTGTCTACTTGGTCTTTGAAGTTTCAAAATGAACATGTTTGGTCATTCAGATTTAAAATAGGTGTCAACTTAGTCCCTAAAGTTTCAAAATGAACACTTTTGATCTATGAAATTTGAGAAATGATTCTAAATGGTCCTTGATTTTTTTTTACTATTAACTAATATTAAAACGACGTGGCAAATTGCAATTGAATTGTTTATTGTAGTTGCTAATGTGACAAATTATATTAATTAAATAATATATGTGTAGGTGATGATATTTTCTCTCTTCTCTCCTCATCTCTTCCCCTCTCTTTCTCCTACCATTTTCTGGGGACCACCACGTCTTTGCCGCCACCGTATGCCATTCATACCGGACATATATCATTTAATTAATATAATTTTTCAGATCAATAACTACACTAAACAATTTAATTGCAATTTGCTACGTCATTTTAATATTAGTTAATAACAGTACAAAAAAATTATTGACCATTTAGAACTATTTCTAAAATTTCAGAGACCAAAAAGTGTTTATTTTAAAACTTCAGAAACTAAGTTGACACCTACTTTAAACCTCAAGGACCAAAAGTGTTCATTCTGAAACTTGACCAATTAGACACCTAACTCAAACCTCAAGAACAAAAAATGTTCATTTGGAAACTTGATGGACCAAATAGACACCTACCTCCAACCTTAGACACCAAAAATATATTTTGCCCAAATATTTTTGAAGTTTTCTTTTAGTATTATAAGTCAAATGTAGGATGAAAATTCGAACCTACAACCATTAAAATAGATGATTATTATCTCAAAGCAATCAAATTATGTTTAAAGTTAGGTAAATATTTTTCTGTCTTAGTTTATGAGCTTTTTTTTCATCAATAATAAATAAATTTGTTTACTACAAATAATTTTCATCTACATGGTACCTACTAATTTACTAGTTTTTCTTAACTTCACCAGTAAAGCCCATTATAAATATTATGAATTCTCATTTTTGGTAGAACTAGAAATAGAAATATATTTGGTAACTATTTTATTTCTTTTTTTTTTATCCCATTGGGTCATTTTAATTTTCACTTTTATTAACATATACCACACATAGCTTCAAATCGTTGACATATTACATAATGTATTATCAATCTAAGCATAGTCCAACAAGTTAAGATACCTATGTCTGATCAGAGAAAGTCGTAAATTCGAATTGTCCTATTCCCAGTGTACTAAGAAAAAGTATTATTATATTAGAAGTCAATTGAGGAGGCAATCGAGTTTGTAAAGAAGAGCCTATGTAGTTGAGATGTACTAAAATGATTCAGTCTGCACTCTAGTTTCCCTAACATAAAGACTGAAATTTTGACTTAATATAGAATGCGAAAGAAGGTCAAGTAGAACATTTTACATGGATAAGTTCTAGTTTTGCACACATCAAAGAAATTGTCAAATGGCAAAAGGAAAATCTCAAACCTATGAAAATGAATTGGCATATTCACCAAACGGTTTCATTCCAAGATTTCCACGTGTCAACTTTCAACAACTCTATAAATAAGACACAAGAGGCAGTCATGAGTAATATCCATCCAAAGTTACATTTTAGAAAGGGTTAAAAAGCCGTAAAGAAGTAATTGTTTTAGCTTAACTAGTTAAGATACTAGTACATCTATTTATTAGATATTCGAATTCTTACCCCATTTAATTTTTTTTTTCCTTTCAGTTTAGGGATCACCTCTCTAAATCCAATAAGGTTGTCAAAAAGCATTATCAAAGAGGTAATTATTTTTCAACTTTGAGATGAACTTACTAAAAGCAACAAAGTTGTCTCTGAAGCAAGAGTTGTGTTGCTTCTACAAAGTCTCTACTCTATAAAACTACCCAAGTGGACATTACAAGTTCAAGCACATTGCTAACAGAATTATGTTAGTTGGGAGAGTCAATCAACCAAAACAAGGAAAAAGCTACTCTCCAAGCATCAGTTTCATTATTCATCCCTAAGAACAAAGTTGGGTTCCTCAAATTGCCAAGAAAATGAAGCTGATGAAGAATCCCAATGCATTGGGGAGCATGGAGCTGAATGCTGTTTAGCCAAATACTTTTCCCAACTATTACACTCGAGCGTAAACAATTCATCTGGGTCCGAGTAACATCGCGGGGTGTCGATATTAATCTAAAGCATAAAGAGATCCACAAATGAAGATTAATAACACCAAAAGAGAAGAAAATAACAATATTAATAACATTTGGGTGAGAAACTTACATCGCTATAACCCATATAAGCATCAGTGAACAAAAGTACAAAACAATAGATATATGTATCGAACATCGAACATAAAAGATGAATCAAGATAAAGTTTCTATAATATGATAGACATTATTAATATTAAGGATGCAACAGCTAAATTTCTACTGATTACCAATGTAGGTGGAAGACATGTTAACAGCTAACAAATGAAACAAAACAAAACGTTTAGAAGTTAATATGAAGAGACTAAGAATATACTTTTAATACATTTGTTGTATCTATCAAACTAAATGAACATCAAAAGTAATATACTTCTCATATTCCATTGCAATACCTTCCTCCATAATTGAATGAAAATAGGAGAATATTCAAGAAGTTAAAAGAAAACTTTTCTCAAGAAAAAAATTTGGAACCATGAATTAAAAGGAAAGAAAAGATACACACCAAGGACAATCATATTTTATCAATGGGTCAAATATCATTGTCCTTATATACATGAGGTTCTCCTAGCTTACACTACTTAGATTAACTCCTGAAACTATAATATCTAGATTCAAGAAACTCGTAACATATTAATATTCAAAGTAGCCATCAACTTCGAATTTATGATTTCAAAAACTTTTGAATTTACAATTTGCTTTATGAGCATTGTAAATTACAAGAGAACGACGAATAAGAAAAGATAAGTCTAAATTGTAGATTAAGAAGAATTACCTTTGCTTGATCAGACGCATGACTTTCAACTTTGGGCAATGAGTCTGCAGACGAAAATGTAGGCTTTCGTTCTCAATAAGGATAACAGAAAAATGATAAATAACTAAAAATATTTTACCATTCAAGAGAGAAGAACGCCTATGACAAAGTTGATTGAGAGTTATGTAGTGCTTGAAAAGAAAGAATAAGTAAAGAAGGTGGAGAAGGATTGCATCTCCAAAATTATTATATTTTTGTGAACAGAAACTCCATAGTATGATTACGCTCACTACCCTTTTAGCTCACGTTTTGTAACATTTCTCTTACCAACTCATTCATTGGGGGAGACATCTTATGATATCACAATGCACCTATTTTCATGGCTTTTTTTTTTCACAGAGAAACTGAACTTTTCATTGAGGAAAAAAAAAAGACAGAAATGCACAAGGACATACAAAAAACAGCCCAGAGATGCACAAAAACATACAAAAAACAGCCCAAAGAAAGAAGGTCCATCTCACGAAGGAGGCTCAAATCCAAAAGGATAATACGTAGCTGATAATTGCAAAAAAAACTTAGAAATCAACTCCACAGGAAAATATTAAATCTAATAATCTCCCAAATGCCCCTAAGATTCTATTATCTCGCACAGTCCAAATCTCCCACAAAATAGCAAAAGAAACAAGCTTGTCACAAAAATCTCCCAAATCTCCCCTTATCCTGGAAAAGAGGATACGATAGAACCTCCTCTGTCAAAGCCTAGCAGTCCTTGTTGCGACCCACAACATCCCAAACAGCTCAAAGAACCGGCCCAGATTTTCATGGCTATTCCTTCAATACATCTGATTCTTGAGTGTCTTTGTAGAATACTTGACCAAAGTGTGACCAATTAGCTCACAAGTCAATACTTTGACAAAGAAATCATTCCTATAAACTATGATATTAGCCAAATGGACAGCCTTTTCGTAACTCTTGGACTGTTATGGGGCATTTAGCCTCCTTTTGTACACATTATATTTCTTCCATGAAATTTGTTTCTTACCTTTTTTTTTTTTTTTTTGTAATTTATTTCTTTTCCTTTCTTTTTATTTTTTATTTTTAATTTTTAAATACCATCTTATAATTTTGTTAAACATAGTAATAAGAATCACATAAACAACAGTTTTGGTCATAGATTCCACAGAAGCAGTAACCGGAAGCAGACTTGGTTATTCTCAGATTGCAGGCAATTTTATCCTCAACGTTCAACAACTTACCATGTCCAGGAAGAACCAGATCCAAGTAAGAAGCAAGCACTGGGAGTCTTTGTGCTTCAATGCATTTATCATGATCATGCAAAAATCTTTCGCCAGCTACATCAATTTCTTCCTTCGCTCTCTCCTTCTTCCTGATTGGCACCTCCTGATGAAGGATTGATGATTTATTTGAGATGTCATTTAAAGCTTTACGCCCTGATCCAGCTGCTACACCTTTCTTGTGAATTATTTTAGAACTTTTTCCCTTTCTATCAGCAGCAACTTCTACAGGAAAATAACTAGAAATTAATAAATAACATAATATAGAAGATATTTCCATTATCCATTTAGCATGACCTTAACAACTACAGGGTGAACTGCTAACTGGCATTCTAGGTTATATGAGAAATACATCATGGTTTTCAGAATCTTTTAACATTAGATCTGCCAGGCAGCTCAACAGTCAAAACAAATTTTGACAAAATGAGTGTATTCCATGCAGTGATGAAAAACAATATATGGAGCCTTACTTTTTTTTGGGTTCATGCCCAAATTTTCATCTGGGATAATCAGCTGCCCAGGGGTAACACGACTTGTCATTGTTGTAATTATCTTCTCTTCCCCTCAAATGAATAAATGACTTGGATAGTGATTGTGCAGATGATTAATCTGAAAAGGAGCAGAAAATTTCTTAAATTTAGACAAAAAAAGGTGACAACAATAAAATTCCTACTAAAAGAAACACATATCGTGTTGAGGTTGCAAGTATGCAAATAAAATCTTACATTGATTAGGGAAGAGAGTGATTCATTGTACATAGATGAGAACAATTATCTCCATTGGTACGAGGCCTTTTGTGTAAAACCAAAAGCAAAGTCATGAGGATTATACCTAAAACAGACAATATCATACAATTGTGGAGATACTCGGGGTATGAGGGTAAAGTTGTCCTTTAACATATTAATTACCTTGAATTAGGCAAAACTAAGCGAATGGGGAACCATGAAATTTAGTTTAAACAAAATTTTACAAGGCCAGGTAGGAATTAGATTGAAAAGGTAATAAAAAGATATATATTTAAGCATAAATTGCACCTTAATTTTGGGTAATGAGAATACGAAATTATGTAGCATGGAATTAATATGCAATTGAAGCAAGAGACACAAAACAGTAGGAAAAAACTTTCAGAGGGCAATGCAAATCCTTCAAACCCAATGGTCTTCAGAAGCTGCATTGTAAGAAAGTAACTTTTCCGAGATAGTTTGCTTACATTAAACACGTTTTAGGTCATTTTTTCTGAACAAAATTCTAAAAATAATCGACCGAAGTAATGAAATTAGCCAAAACCCAGAGCAGTATAATCACAATATATTCGTTCTATAAACTTGGAAAGCGAATTACAAACATGGGATCTAAAAACCATGATCAATTTCCACAAAGAAACGAATGACATCAAAAAAGAAACAAAAACTGAGAAAAAAAGGGGAAATGAATGGCAATGGATAAAAGAAATTTATGGCACTATACATACAACTACGAGATTTACTTAAATTCTTTAGAAAAAGCCGAAGGAGAGACCTGTTATCTACTCGTCTGTGGATTTGAACTCTGCAGAGAAACGGAAGTGGAAACCGCAGAGAATGGCAGCGGCAACGGTAATAATATGATTTTTTTTCTCTCTTTTTTTGTCGATTTTAAAATCTAATAATTTTATAAGTTAAAATACAAAGGGTAATTGAGTCGACTCACGTGACAAAATTTCTAGTTTGCTCAAATGATCTAAATTATAAAAATTGACTCAACTGACCCAATTTTAGCTTTTTTGACATTTTAGAGAATTTGTAATTACGAATATACCCCCGGAAATTGAACTACAACAAATCTGTCACGGACTCACGTAGGTTGGTGTAATTAAAACCATTGGCAAGTTCCACCTAATTCATGGCCGTGAATTTATTAAAGTACCACGAACTTATTACCCACACATTCTCACAGATTGAGAGAATAAAAATATGTTTCAGTCCGTATTGTCCACAAGCACATCTTTTACGTGGTTTTGAAGAAATTTCATACCTTTCCAACATTTTTCACTTCTTGAATCCATTAAAGGAAGTCAATTTTTCATCTTTGACACCTTGAACGAGGTTAGTTTTTTATTGATACATAATATTATTTTCGATTCGTCCATAATATGATGTATGTAGTTGGACTAAATGGAATTTCTGAATTTTTATCAGTATTTTTGTGGGTAAAAAAATTTACATAAGGCAATGATTCATGGCCGTGTTTCTTCGTTTAACGGTCATGGTCAATGGTTTTATGATTAACGGTCGTGGTTTTAGGTGATTTCGGTCGTGGTTGCATACAGATAACTTTGATCCCCTCACGGCCATGGTCCATTTTGTTCGATACACGATCGGGGTGTTTAGGACCACGATCGTGGTTCTTAATCGTCTGATTAATGGCCGTGGTAGCATGTTCCTTCGCCGTGGTCCTGTAATGTTTGATTCATGGTCTGTTGGGTGTGTTGCCCTAAACTTGTAGTTTGTATTTTGTAAAAACAAATATATATTCAATACAATTTTATTCAATAAATTTGTTGTTGAATTCATAGCATTGCATTGTCCAAAATCCAATAAACTAAACATCCGAGGTTATTTTAGTGTAACCGGGACAGTATATGTA